CAAAAAAGAAAGAAGGAAGGGAGGAGGGAGGGAGGGAGGGAGGAAACAATACTAGCCTGAAAAAACAAACTATGCTTTTGGCTCAAGTGAGAAGCTGATTCCCTGCTTAAAGAAAAATCACATTTTCTTATTGTTCCATGTTTTCTTTGATCAAAGGTGGGACGTATGTTTTCTCTTTCTTCATTCTCCTTAGTAACCTGCTCATCTGTCTGCTTTCCTCTTAACACAATTTTATTGGCATTGCTAACTTAAGAATCATGAGATTTACAAATTTGGAAAGGAGACTATTTTTTGAATTATTTTTAATGTATGTGGGTACATAGTAGGTATATATATTTCTATGACCTATTTTGACACAGGCATGCAATGCCTAATAATTACATCAGGGCAAATGGGGTATTCATCACCTCAAACATGTATCCTTTGTGTTACAAACAATCCAATTATACTTATAGTTTTTTAAATGTACAATAAATTATTGTTGTTGTGGTAGTCATCTTGACTGTAGTCATCTTGTTGTGGTCAAATACTAGATCTTATTCATTCTATCTAACTATATTTTTGTAACCATTAATTATCCCCACTCTCCTCCAACCCCATCATTCCCTGCCACCTTTCCCAGCTTCTGGCAACCATCTCTGTTTCCATGAGGTCAATTGTTTTAATTTTTAGCTCCAACAAATAAGTGAGAACATGCAAAGTTTGTCTACGTGTGGCTTATTTCACTTACCATAATATCCTCCAGTTTCATCCAAGTTATTGCAAATGACAGGATCTCATGGCTAAATAGTACTCCATTGTCTGTATGTACCACATTTTATCCATTCATCCGTTAATGGACACTTAGGTTGCTTCCAAATCTTGGTTATTATGAACAGTGCTGCAGCAAACATGGGACTGCAGATATCCCTTTGATATTCTGATTCCCTTTCATTTGGATTTATAACCAGCAGTGGAATTGCTGTATCATATGGTAGCTATATTTTTCATTTTTTTTGAGAAACCGCCAAACTGTTCTATATAGTGACTGCACTAGTTTACATTCCTACCAACAGTGTACTAGGGTTCCCTTTTCTCCACGTCCTAACCAGCATTCATTTTTGCCTGTCTTTTGTATAAAGCCCATTTTAATTGGATTGAGATGATCTCTTATTATAGTTTGGATTTGCATTTCTCTGATGATAGGACATGTTGAACACTTTTTCATATTCCTGTTTGCTATTTGTATGTCTCCTTTTGAGAAATGTCTATTCCGATCTTTTGCCCATTTTTAAATCAGATTAGATTTTTTCTCTTATAGAATTGTTTGAGCTCCTTATATAGTCTGGTTATTAAGCCCTTGTTGGATAGACAGTTTTCAAATATTTTATCCCATTCTGTAGGTTGTCTCTTCAGTTTGTTGATTGTTTCGTTTGTTATATAGAAGATTTTTAAGTTGATGTGATCCCATTTGTCCATTTTTGCTTTGGTTGCAAACTATGCTTGTGAGATATTACTGAAGAAATCTTTGTCCAGGCTGATATCCTGGAAAGTTTCTCTAATTTTTTTTAGTATTTTCATAGTTTGAGGTCTTAGATTTAAGTATTTAATCCATTTTTATTTGATGTTTGAATATGGTGAGAGATAGGGGCTAGTTTCATTCTTCATATATGGATATCCAGTTTTCCCAGTGCCATTTATTGAGGAGACTGTCCTTTCCCTAGTGAATGTTCTTGGCACTATTGTTGAAAATGAGTTCACTGTATAAGTATGGATTTGTTTATAAGTTCTCTATCCTGTTGCTTTGGTCTGTGTGTCTGTTTTTATGCCAGTAGCATGCAGTTTTGGTGATTTTCACCTTGCAGTATAATTTGAAGTCAGGTAATATCATTCCTCCAATTTTGTTCTTTTTGCTCAGGATGACTGGCTATTCTGGATCTTTTGTGGTTTCATATAGATTTTAGGATTCTTTTTTTATTTCTGTAAAGAATAGTGACTGTTATTTTGATACAGATTGCAATAAATCTGTATATTTCTTCTAAAGGATTACAGTCTTCAAACTGGCTACTCTGACAGGCACTTCAAGGAAGGAAGGAGCAAGACAGGAATTTAAGCTGAACTGTTTGGCCAAGTATACATATGCAACAAATTATAGGAAGAGCTATGAACATTCATGAAGTGGGTCCTAACATGCATATTGAACAAACATGCATATTACATATTTGTGTTTGCTTTGGGGTGAAGACTTAACATTTAAATGCATTACAATTAGGCTCTTACTATATGTCAGAAGGTGAAGCAGGGACTTGAAGGCATTCACTGTTTATAGCCTCTGTAAACAGGACAGAACCACATTATGATCAGTGGTCTTATGAGGAGAAAGTTATTAAAATCAGTTTCTTCTCCAATCAAAGCTCTAGTTATGGCTTGGGAGACAGGGAGGTCAATTATTCAGCATCTGTTGGGGAACGAGCTATAATTTTAAAAATTGCTTTTCTTGAGGACAGTGCTTGTTTAACTGTGAGAGAAAAAAGAAAAACCTTGTGGCAGTTAGAACCTAGTTTACTCTTTAAGTAGAGGGGTTTGTGACTTCATCCTTGCCTGGCATGGTCCTAGGTTTTGTTTATAATTTGGTATATTATTGTTATAAATAGTTCATTCTGTCAGTCTTATGATCTGTATTTTGACATTAATGCTGATCAGTTGGTTGTGTCTAAACCACAAAAGGAAAGGAGTATAATGAGGCATGTCTGACCTCCCATCCCATCATGGCCAAGAACTCAGTTTTTTGTTTTTTTTTTAAATTTTTTTATTGCATTTTAGGTTTTGGGGTACATGAGCAGAACATGCAAGACAGTTGCGTAGGTACACACATGGCAGTGTGTTTTGCTTCATTTCTCCCCTTCACCCACATTTGGCATTTCTCCCCAGGCTATCCCTCCCCACCTCCCCCTCCCACTGGCCCTCCCCTTTTCCCCCCAATAGACCCCAGTGTTTAGTACTCCCCTCCCTGTGTCCATGTGTTCTCATTTTTCATCACCCGCCTATGAGTGAGAATATGTGGTGTTTCATTTTCTGTTCTTGTGTCAGTTTGCTGAGAATGATGTTCTCCAGATTCATCCATGTCCCTACAAACGACACAAACTCATCATTTCTGATTGCTGCATAATATTCCATGGTGTATATGTGCCACATTTTTCCAATCCAGTCTATCATCAATGGGCATTTGGGTTGATTCCAGGTCCTTGCTATTGTAAACAGTGCTGCAATAAACATTCGTGTGCATGTGTCCTTATAGTAGAACGATTTATAGTCCTTTGGATATATACCCAGTAATGGGATTGCTGGGTCAAATGGAATTTCTATTTCTAAGGCCTTGAGGAATCGCCACACTGTCTTCCACAATGGTTGAACTAATTTACACTCCCACCAACAGTGTAAAAGTGTTCCTTTTTCTCCACATCCTCTCCAGCATCTGTTGTCTCCAGATTTTTTAATGATCGCCATTCTAACTGGCGTGAGATGGTATCTCAATGTGGTTTTGATTTGCATCTCTCTGATGACCAGTGACGATGAGCATTTTTTCATATGATTGTCGGCCTCATATATGTCTTCTTTCGTAAAGTGTCTGTTCATATCCTTTGCCCACTTTCGAATGGGCTTGTTTGTTTTTTTCCTGTAAATCTGTTTGAGTTCTTTGTAAATTCTGGATATCAGCCCTTTGTCAGATGGGTAAACTGCAAAAATTTTTTCCCATTCTGTTGGTTGCTGATTCACTCTAGTGACTGTTTCTTTTGCCATGCAGAAGCTGTGGAGTTTCATTAGGTCCCATTTGTCTATTTTGGCTTTTGTTGCCAATGCTTTTGGTGTTTTGTTCATGAAGTCCTTGCCTACTCCTATGTCCTGGATAGTTTTGCCTAGATTTCCTTCTAGGGTTTTTATCATGCCAGGTCTTATGTTTAAGTCTTTAATCCATCTGGAGTTAATTTTAGTGTAAGGTGTCAGGAAGGGGTCCAGTTTCTGCTTTCTGCACATGGCTAGCCAGTTTTCCCAACACCATTTGTTAAACAGGGAATCCTTTCCCCATTGCTTGTTTTTGTCAGGTTTATCAAAGATTGTATGGTTGTAGATATGTTGTGTTGCCTCCGACGCCTCTGTTTTGTTCCATTGGTCTATATCTCTGTTTTGGTACCAGTACCATGCTGTTTTGACTACTGTAGCCTTGTAGCATAGTTTGAAATCCGGTAGTGTGATGCCCCCCGCTATGTTCTTTTTGCTTAGAATTGACTTGGCTATGCGGGCTCTCTTTTGGTTCCATATGAAGTTCGTGGTGGTTTTTTCCAGTTCTGTGAAGAAAGTCAATGGTAGCTTGATGGGGATAGGGTTGATTCTGTAAATTACTTTGGGCAGTATAGCCATTTTCACGATATTAATTCTTCCTAACCATGAACATGGAATGTTTCTCCATCTGTTTGTGTCCTCTCTTATTTTGTTGAGCAGTGGTTTGTAGTTTTCCTTGAAGAGGTCCCTTACGTTCCTTGTGAGTTGTATTCCAAGGTATTCAAATAGGAAAGGTGGAAGCCAAATTGTCTCTATTTGCAGACGACATGATAGTATACCGAGAAGACACCATCGCGTCAGCCCAAAAACTCCTGAAACTGATAAGCAACTTCAGCAAAGTCTCAGGATATAAAATCAATGTGCAAAAATCACAAGCATTTGTCTACACCAATAACAGACTTAAAGAAAGCCAAATCAAGAACGAACTGCCATTCACAATTGCTACAAAAAGAAGAACTCAGTTTTTAAGGTTTCTCTTGGGTCCCTTTGGCCAAACAGGTTTGTTCAGTAGGTTGTAGGGGGTGCTTAGAATTTTGTATTTGGGTTACAGCATCTAATTTTTCCTTTACTGTCATGTTAGTAAAATTTCACGATAAAATCTTGTGTTCAGTCTTCCATATTTATCCAGAAGCCAAATATGAAATTTTCACTGTCTGAAATTTTTGTTTTTTATCGTAAAGGTTTGACTGATATTACAAAGGATCCAGACTTTAATGGAATCTATGATGAAGACATTAATGAAGATCCAACATATGATCCCAGTAGCCCAGAAGAAACAGCTGTATTTATGAAATATGCTGAAAATATTATGCTAAAGTTAACATTCAGTACCACACAAGTTCAACAGTATGAACATGTCTTTATATTTGAAACAGACTATTGGCTTACTAATACTATAAGATATAATTAAGATTATCTTGATATTTATACCTACCAGAGACTACAGCAAAGATTATATCTTCAAAAAAAGATTATTCAAAAACACTTTGAGAAGAAAGAAGATATCAGAAGAGGGATAGGATACCTAAAGTTAATATGTTTTCTGATTCCATTTCTACTGAGTTTAAAGAAGAAAATGAATGTTCCATATTTAAATAGTCTGCTTTAGCCTTTTTCAGGTAAGAGTATCACCAAAAATCAAGTATAAAATATAGGTATATATTAAATATATGTTTAAATACAATTTTGTTTCTGGTATATGGGTACAGGCAGTAACCTAGCTATAACCTGTCCAAAAGAGAAAACAAAATTTGATGTCTCTAATGTAATTTAAAACACTCAGTATCTGTACATAGTACTTTGTATATATTTATACTAATTACAAAGGCTACTGAAAGTTTCAAAATAAGCTAAAATAAGTTCATATGAACAGGGAAATATGCCATGTTCATGATGGGACAACACTGCGAATATATCATCTCATTCAAATTACTCTATAAATTCAATGTACTTCTATTCAAAATCCTCATCATATTTTTCACTGAAGTTTACACACTCTAACATTAATATACACCAGCAAAGGGTCATTAATTTCTGAAAGACCATTAATGACCCTTTGCTGCTCTATAATAAAACTACAGTAATGAATGTAGAATTACATTGAAATGAAACATGTTAAAACAGTAATTAAATGAAGGCAGTATTGGCACTGTAATAAACAAACAGAGCAATGTAATAGAATAGAGAGCTGAAACAGGGCCATAATTAATGCGATTTGTTGGGACTTCAGTATAAGCTCTTCATCCTATCCAGATTAGCATACAATTTATACACTTTCATTGCTGTTTAAGCATGTAGGTTTATTATAATGGGCTTTTTCTTCAGATGGCACATTTTCAGCAGAAATTTTGCAAATCCTTTAGTAAAAGTTGGTGCCATGAGAATTCAGGTGCTGAAGATATAAATTATCTGTGAACTATTAGAAATGGAATCATGACAGTACATGGCTCTTGGGAGCATGTATAGAAGTGGGAGGGACTTTCTTAAAGAGAACGTTAGCTATATCTGCAATATCTTATTACTTAAACTATGGGAAGCAAATATGACTAATGTTAAATAGTTAATTCTCGGTGTTGAGATCAGGATGTATAGTGTATATTATTTTTTGTACTTTACTGTTTTTATTTCCCGAAATACATTATGTACCTTATGTTGATGAAACCATATTCTACCAACCAGTCAAAATATTGAAAAACCTAATCTAATCTTTGCTGGAATTTGAGGTTTTTTGTTTTTGTTTTTGTTTTTGAGACAGAGTCTTGCTCTGTCACACAGGCTGGAATGCAGTGACATGATCTCAGCTCACTGCAACCTCTGCTTCCTGGGTTCAAGTGATTCTTCTGTCTCAGCCTACTGAGTAGCTGGGATTACAGGCATCCACCACCATACCCAGCTAATTTTTCAATTTTTAGTATAGACAGGATTTTGCTATGTTGGCCAGGCTGGTCTCAAACTCCTGACCTCAGGTGATCTGCCCACCTCAGCCTCCCAAAGTGCTGGGAGTACAGGTGTGAGCCACTGTGCCCGGCAGAGAAAATTATTTTTAAAAATAAGTTTTCTGTGTAGTTTCGTTACTTTCCAGAAATATGGGCTGGTTATTTTTGTATGTGAGATATACCCATCTATTTCTTTATAATGTCTTTTTTTACACGAGATAAGCTTTTGTTTATTTAACCAAAGATTCTCTTAGGCATAGGGTTTCTAGTCCTTTCTTGTAATTAGAGTAAGATATTAATCTTGAGCTCACTTACAAGAAATCAATAATTAGAACAATGTTTTGAGCATACTTTTGAGATATCTGTACAATAAACCTACAGAAAATGCTCAAAATGTCAATATTTATTTTGTGTGTGTGTGTGTGTGTGTGTGTGTATGAGACAGGGTGTCACTCTGTCACCTGGCTGGAGTGCAGTGGCATGATCTCAGCTTACTGCAGTTTTGACCTCCTGGGCTCAAGCAGTCCTCCCACCTCCGCCCCCTAAGTAGCTGGGATTACAGGCATGCACCATCACACTCAGCTGGTTTTTGTATTTTTAGTAGAGACAGGGTTTCACCATATTGCCCAGACTGGTCTTGAACTCCTGGGCTTAAGCGATCTGCCCCCCTTGGCCTCTCAAAATGCTGGGATTACAGACATGAGCCACTGTGCATAGCCAAAAATATATTCTAATTAGTTAAAATATTTATATACATTAACAACGTAAATAATTTTATGGACTATAATTACTAAGATTTTAATTTCATCTGGAATTTTCGTTTACATGAATGAGAAATTAGATCTCTTAAAATATGATTGTTTATGTGCTGTTCATGTTTTAAATAAAAGTTTGTTTTCATTTCTGCAGATGACAAGGTCAAGACAGAGCGAGAATTGCCTCCATTTATTTATGGAAGAGATTTTAAATGCCAGAATTTTCACTACAAAGAAAATAAATATTTTCATGTTCACAGAGGAATTGAATTTGATATCAGCATTCCTTCAATTGAAAATGCTTTGGAAGATTTTCAGGTTTAAATGATCATTCCTTAGACAGTTTGTCATTTCACAACTCTTTTATCCTGTTCTTCAACCAAAAAGAGCCTCTGTTGATAGAGGCACTAAACAGCTCTCCAGATGACTATTCTTACAACTCACTCACTCATTCATGTATTATTTTAACATAAATGAATTAAGTACAGTTATATGTAACGTACTGTGTTCGATATCTGAGATAAAATTATAAATAAGCTAGGTACAGCTATGATCCTCACAGAATTTAGACTTCTAATAGACCATATTTGCCCTAGAATAGGTAACCAAAGAGTGCGGTAGAAATCTCTAGACACTCATTCTTCCATTTTTTCTCAAAGAATTAGGATTAGAACAGAGATCCTCTAAAGTTAGAGAATAGTAATTCTTCACCTGGAATTTAGTGTAAACATTCTACTTTTCATTTGTTATTGCTTTTCCACCTTCTGTATACTATAGGTTTTCCTTTTTATATTTTTTTCCTCATTCTCAAAGTAAGGATTAGATACATGCAGCTGCTATCAGGGTCTTCTGGAATAGTAAATTTAAAATTTGTCTTTTACATATATGCCATTTCATACAAATAATTCTTATAATTTTTTAGATGTGTTTAAAGATATGTCTTTAGTAACCTAACTCATATTTTAGAAAAATTTAGAAAAGATACGAGATTGTGCTGCTAATACATTTATAGAAGATTCAGGATCCGAAGAATATTACTCAATACCAGTCATGGAATTTTATGGAAAAAGGTAAGGAGTTTTCACTAATTACTGACACTAGCTACAATTTGTTGAAAGTTTGTAGCGAACAAAGAAAATAACAAAATGCAAAGGTTAATTTAAATGTTTACAGTGGTGATTCCAGAATAATAACTACCATGAATGACAGATTGACTCAATAAAGTATTAAATGTTATAGTTACTACTTGATGTATTTGATACAGTCCGTGTAACAATCCTTAAGATCTTGTAATTAGTTCTTATAATTAACATAGTGGTTAAATAGGGATAGAGATGGGGATCAAATCCCAGCATTTTTTGTCTTTTATGTTTTGTGTTCTTAGATTTTTAAATCTCAGACACTGATATTTGGAAATATGGGAAGTAGAACTCAGAAGAAACATTTTAATTAGAGGCAAAGATTTAAAAACAAATAAGGAAGTTTTGCTTGTTGGTTCATTTTTTTGTTTGTTTGTTTTTTAAGATGGAGTCCCATCTGTCACCCAGGCTGGAGTACAGTGACACAATCTCGGCTCACCACAACCTCCACTTCCTGGGTTCAAGCAATTCTCCTGCCTCAGCCTTCCGAGTAGCTGAGATTACAGGCACGCACCACCATGCCCGGCTAATTTTTTATTTTCAGTAAAGATGGTTTCACCATATTGGTCAGGCTAGTTTCGAACTCCTCATCTCAGGTGATCTGCCCACCTTGGCCTCCCAAAGTGCTGGGATTACAGGCATGAGCCATTGCACCTGACCCATTTGTTTGTTTTTAAGGCATGCAAACAGTTGAGAGGATAGGACCAAGTCTGAAACTTTGGAGAATAGTAACTGTTAAAGAGGGTAGGGAGAAGTAGAGGAGAGAGAACAAAGGAGACTGAGAGGGAATGATACAGGTAGAGGAGGAACAAGAGCATATGATAGCATAAGGCTGAGGTGGGAGGATCACTTGAGGCCAAGAGTTCAAGTCTGCAGTGTGCTGTGATCATGGCTGTGAATAGCTATTGCACTCTGGACTGGGCACCATAGCAAGACCCCATTTCTTAAATAATAATAAAAAGAGAGTGAGTATGAAAGCCAAATTTCAGAATATAGAAATAGTAAAAAAAGCATCAAATGCAACACAGAATAGGGCCAAGTCACTTTAATCTTGGAGAGAGCCCTCTAAATTTAGCTGACTTGCTAAGAGAATTTTAGTGGAGTTTTGGTTAAAGGAGGCTATTTTCAGCAAGTTGAAGTGTTAAGTACAGTAGAGTTATAAGTCATAAAAAAGTAAAGAAAAGACTGAATTTCTTTCAAGATACATGTGAGTGAGAAGAATAAGAGAAATAAGGCAGAGAGAGTAGTGGGATAAAGGAGGAAAGGGGGAATCTTTCTACTGAATTACTCTCAGGATACACGTCATATTGAAGCTGAAGTCAAAGACTATGAGGCTAATGACCTCCATGATTTTGAAGGGAACCAAGTAGCAGATCTCATGCCTCTGGAATGGACAGGTGATGTGTACTCCCTGGAGGAAGAATCTCTTGCCCAGGGTCCCAGCACCTGTTTACATACTCCACATACAATCCTTGCCAAACTAAATAGTTTCCTTGAGTCACTTTTCAATAAACCTTTATTCTTCTATCAGGCTTCTGGGGCACCAGTGATCCTGGGAATTCAGGGAAGCAGCTGGGACAGAAGCTGTACTTGGTGAGAGGCAGTTGTGGGTGAATGAGTATGGTTGCTGTAAACACAACACCATTGTACTATTAGAGATCGGTCATATCATAGTGGAATTGTTTTTCTAGTCTGAACTAATGCACAGCATTTGGTCATCAGCGTTGGTGAATGGTAGGCTGATACATACCAATTTGCTGGTTTTGAAATCCAACATAAGCCTGTATCCCAGACCCAGACAGCATGGAGTAAAAGTAAAAACCACAAGTTGAGTTATAAGCAGAATTTTTCTGGCTCATCTACCAATCACTAAAGAACTTTCAGTTCCTTCTACAACCCAATCAACACACAATTTTTTTTGGAATCTCATATGTCAGCAGATCAGCATTCTCAGCTACCATGGAATATCTTCAGTTTCCTTCTTTCCTGCCTGGTCACATAAAGCCCAATAAGCCCCAGGAGCTGTTTTCTTCTAAAAATTCAGTTTAGTCATGTAGTACCAATCAAGCATCCAGGTCTGATCCAAACAGCTCCTTAAGGTCCTAGAGCCTATCACCACTGTGAGTCAAAGACTGTTCAAAACTTTCAAATCTAAGTAAGATACAGAACACCTGTTCCTTGATTTTGGAGGCTAGAGTCTAATAAGCTAGCAAGTCCCCACTGATGACCATGGCACCTCTACAAGCTGGGACCTATGAACAAGTGAACCAGCAAGCTGTGGGTCAAGACAGCCTTTAGTTTATATTCTCGTGGTCTAGTTTCCTTTTAAAGGAAGAGGATGATGTATGGGAAGAATAACACCCTCAGATAAACGTGAAGAGGACCTCAGATATTCCTCCATCCATGCACTGAGGTCCCTTATATTCAGAAAATTGGAACTGAAGTACAGATCAAGGAAGACTATTAGCCTCTGACTAATTTATAACAGTGTTTCCCTGTGACCGTCCTGTAACTGACTCATGAGACCCAGTGATTCTTCCTTAGCTACTGGGCACAGTTTCCTTAGCATAATCACTAACTTCCTTCTCAAGATATTAATGTAATGGAACAAATTTTTAGCTCTCTTAGGAAAACTGATCATCCCTGAGCAGCAGGAAGAGCCATAGGAGGGGTTACCACTGTCAAGAATATTGTATTTGGGCCAGGTGCAGTAGCTTATGCCGGTAATCCCAGCACTTCAGGAGGCTGAGGTGGGAGGATTGCTTGGGTAGGCTGAGGGAGCCTAGGAGTTTGAGACCAGACTGGGCAACATAGTGAAGACCCTATCTTTGTTTGTTTGTTTGTTTTGACAGAATCTTGCTCTGTCACCCAGGCTAGAGTGCAGTGGCACAATCTTAGCTCACTGCAACCTCCACCTCCTGGGTTCAAGTGATTCTCCTGCCTCAGCCTCCTGAGTAGCTGGGATTACAAGCATGCACCAAAATGCCTGGCTAATTTTTGTATTTTTAGTAGAGAAGAGGTTTTGCCATGTTGGCTAGGCTGGTCTCAAACTCCTGGCCTCAAGTAATCTGCTCACCTTGGCCTCCCAGAGTGCTGGGATTACAGGCATGACCTACCATGCCTGTCTTTAAGACCCTATCTCTACAAAAAATTTAAAAGTTACCCAGGCATGGTGACACACACCTGTAGTCACAGCTACTCAGGAAGCTGAGGTGGGAGGATCACTTGAGCCTGAGAGGTGGAGGCTGCAGTGAGCTGTAATTGCGCCACTGCACTCCAGCCTTGGCAATAGAGTAAGACCTTGTCTCAAGAAAAAAAGAATACTGTATTTACAGCAATAAATAGTTGCATTTGGAAGAGAAACCCTGGCAATATTAAGAGGCTTCCCACTGTCAGAGGTAGTTCACTTCTGAAATCCGGACTTGGGAAAGGTACCTCATGGGGGGCAGGGGAGGAAGGTCGCCATTTTCCCTCATCTGTGATGATAAGAAAACCTAGGGTAGAGAGTAACTTAAAATTTTATCAATTTTCCATTCCAGAGTGATAGGGATCAGGGCTGTTTCAAGCCCCAACTCTGTTCCAGGGACATGGTAGGAGGGGGGTTTCTCTAGTTCACTGCTGCAGTGAGTAAAAGACAAGGAACCATTACCCAAAGCATCATTCCAGATCACATTCAAGGTAAACTCTTGAGAAACCAAATATAGATGTAATTAGCTTAAAAGAATAAGAGGTGGGTAAGCAGACAGTTAGATGACCTAGAACTTCACCCAGAGTTAGGCCTTTGAGGAACTTTTAGACATTGTCCCAGATCACTGACATGAAAAGGACAGAGTCAATACAGTATGAAGAAGGCATTTTTATATAAAGACTTGATTAATAACTGTTGATAACCATGTTATTAATACATTTACAATTGAGTACAATTTAAACTACCATTTTGTATTTAATGGTTACAGAATAAATGAAGTTTTGCCAGCACAGAGAAAAAAGTAGCACATCACTTCAAAGGTAGAGAAATATCTTTTTTTCTTTATTTTTTATAGGTACTACGTGATCTATTTTGAACTTGAAACTTTCTATCAGCAAATATATAAGACACAGTGGTGGCGAGCCATAAATGAAATAGTGAACAATCTGAGACTGAAAATACTTCCACTGACATGCTCAATTACGTGAACAATTTAAGAAAAAATTTGGTTTCAAAAAAGCTATGAAATGCAAGGTACTTCAGTGACTACCACATAATAAAGTATATGAAGTTATGTATTATTGATAAGTATATGTCTCAAATGAATGTTTATTTTAGGGGTAAATAATACGTTAAAGTCAATATGAAATAAAATGCCACCTTTTTTTTTGAGACAGAGTCTAGCTCTGTCACCCCAGGCTGGAGTGCAGTGGCGTGATCTTGGCTCACTGCAACCTCTACCTCCCAGGTTCAAACAATTCTCCTGCCTCAGCCTCCTGAGTAGCTGGGACTACAGGCACACATTGCCATGCCTGGCTAATTTTTTTTTTTTTTTTTTCATTTTAGTAGAGATGGGGTTTCACCATGTTGCCCAGGCTGGTCATGAACTCCTGAGCTCAGGCAATCCACCCACCTCGGGCTCCCAAAGTGCTGGGGATTACAGGCGTGAGCCACTGTGCCTGGCCAAAAGGCCACATTTTAGTAGCTGAAAAGCTATATAATTCTGGATTATAAATTTCTGGCAGAGTACCTGTTAATGTACTGGACTGTGATTAATCTCAATAACGGACGTGGAGGGACACAGGTAGTGGCTGGAAAACCAAGCCAGTTGTTAGCATAGGCTCTGGACACTGCCTGGTGGCCGAGCACTGGCAAGTGCAGGAAGTCCTGGGCCGTGGCCCCACCCCTCCCAGGAAGAGACATCCCTTCCCTACCTTCTGAGTGATGAGGCTCAAGGCAAAGAAGAATATGTAATACTCGAACGGATCTGATGGCAGCGTCAGGGGCAAACATGCAGGGTTGCTGAGCCACGCCCCCAGTGTCGAGTGCTGGGTCACCCACAGCCTCCCTACCTCAGGGCCACCAAAGGATACTCAGGGCCAGGTTCAGGCCAAGGCCCCCAGCAGGGGTGAACTGGACTTTGTTGTGGTACAGAGGACTGTCAGGGAGGATGCACTCCTGGATGGATGCCTTCACAGGACCCTGCAGAGCGAGGCGGTGGGGCTTGTGGGCAGGTGCTGGTGTGTAATGCCTGATATGTGGTGCCCCACATGCACAGCAGCCCCTCGGGAAGGCTGCTGGAGAAGAGACCTGCATACAGAACCCACCTGTGGGGATAGTGCCCTGCCTCTGAGAAGTGCCTAACAAGAGTCTTTGCTTAAAACTTCTCCTACCATCTTATAAAAAGCTTCAGATGACTAAGATAGCGGCCATGCAATACCCATCTCCTTTGCGTCTCATCCCGGAGCAACTCACTCCTGAATTTGCCTTCAGAGGAAATTTGCGTCTCATCCCGGAGCAACTCACTCCTGAATTTGCCATCACAGCAGGGCTGTGCAAGGCCCACTGCCCTGAGCACCACTCTCACCTCTGTGTTTTACTTACAGGCAGGTAGGAGACTGGAAAGTCAAACTTACAGTCTTCAGCTTGAAGCTTATAAACCAACTTCATCATTGGGCCACTGAAGATGAGATTGAATAAACAAACAAAAACAGGGCAAATGAACTGCAAATTATCTTGCTTTGATTATTTCCTAAGGTTAAGAAATTGAGAGAGTGACTTAAAAGTAGAATCACCATGAGGAAGCACCCAGCCTCTCTCAGGCAACAAACCTACCTACCCAGGGTCAAGAAATTCCATCGCGATGCTCTACTCCACAGGACTCACACGCCCCTGTAAGCAGCAGAGGTTCCAGCCAATGAGGACACCATCTAAGCTGCCAAAAATGTTCTCTACCAGCCATGGGAAGATGGTGTGCAGCTCCTGAAACTGTGTGCGGAAAAGCTGTGGGCAGGACCAGTGTCCATTCCTGCTCCAGCTCCAGTCATGCACCACCTGCTACCCAGCTCCCTCTGAGGAGGCCATTCCCTGGCTGAGACTCAGGGGATCAGCCCTGTACCCAAAGGAACCCTGGTGCCATGGTGCCAACAAGAAGAGCAGCTTTGGGTTCTTCCAGTGGGATGTATGGCATAAGTCAGCCTCCAATCAAAATACATCTTTTGTGTGTGATAGAAGACTAAATTAAAAAACCAAACAACAACAACAAAAAAACAAACAAAAAAATTAACATAAACAATGAAGTAAAAAATGTAAAAAAAAAAAAAAGCATGTTTTTTGCAACAGGGTCTCACTCTGTTGCCCTGGCTGGAGTGCAGTGGTGCAATCAGGGCTCACTTCAGCCTTGACCTCCTGGGCTCAAGCAATGCTCCTACCTCAGCCTTCTGAGTACCTGAGACAATAGGCACACACCACCATGCTCGACTAATTTTTAAATTTCTTGTACAGACAGGATCTCAGTATGTTGCCTAGAGTGGTCTTGAGCTCCTGGGCTTAAGTGATCCTCCCACCTTGGTGTCCCAACGAGTTGGGATTACAGGCATGAGCCACCACACCAAAAGATTCTTTAAAACAATGTTGGAAACTTCTGACTTGAACGATGTTCCATCAGAAAGGAAAGCAACATCCTTTCCAGAGTGAAGACCCTGAAACATAGCTGATCTGTTGCCATTTGCTATTAACTCCTTGTCTGGGCTCGACAATTCCAGAAGTGATTTAAATACATATTTTTAGCATTCTCGACCTTGGTGCTATTGCCATTTTGGGCTGGATACTCTGTTGTAGGGAGCTGTCCTGTGCTTTGCAGGATGTTTCCAGCATTCCTGACCTCTACTTCCCAGATGCCAGTAGCATATACTCCCATCCACCCCCAGATGTGACAACCAGAAATGTCTCTGACATTGCCAAATGTCCCCTGAGGGACAGAGCACCTGCAGTTGAGAACCCCTGATCTACAAGTTCACATGTTTAAATGTGTCCATAAACATAATGGTCACAATAATGTCTCTGTGCCAGGCAGCGATCAGGGTCGGGTGGCAGGGGTTGGGGGGGTTGGGAGAGGTGGAGAAGTAGGAATTACAGTAAAGTTCTTCAAGGAATGTATAAGACATGCTGCAAAATGAGACATTAGCAAAGCTATACCTTTGCTGGAAAATCCTCAATGACTTTAACCAAGTCTTGGCACTGCTGTGGAAAGGACTTATTTATAGAGTCAGCTTTCAGGCTAGCCTAGAAGACAGAACAAAGCAAAAAAATCATGAGGGCATTCACTATGCAGCTTTTAGTGATACTCTGTATTGAGTCAAACAGAAATCCAAGCAATAGGTTATGAGTCAGGCACATAACCACTGGCCTCACTCCCCAGCCTCTCACATGTGTCAGTGGCCCAAAGAATGCTACTAGGAGAAGCTGTGGTTCTGTGCTCTCTGGACCAGGAACTCTCAGGCTTGCTTCCCAGTACCCCCTCAGAATGCTGCACATCATCAGAACAGGACTGAATTACAACACTGACCCTTAAGTAGGGATTGGCCCCATGGTCAGCCCCAAAACCAGAAGAGGATCTCAACTGTGTACGGGCAACTGTCACAGACCACAGAGTGCCGCTGTGTCTGTATGCATCAAATGGAAATTTCCCACCTGATGGACCACAGTGATTACACTGTTGTGACCATCAGTAAGAATGCCCAACAACATCAGGGCTATAGCAGAAGCTCCTAAACAAGCTGCGCTTTATTCAGTAAACAGTGAACCTACTAAACAACTGATCTTAAAACACGGGGCAGGCAAATACAGACGGCTTCAGCCAAGTAGACACTAATCACAAAGGCAATGGAGGGGCCAGAAAAGACTGAGGACAAGGACTAATGAGATCTACCCACAGTCACGGGATGTGAGGAAAGCACCCTGATGACAAGGAGAAAAGGGGCATCTGTGCAAATGGATTAAGATCAGGAGAAACTGCTAGAATTTCAATGTAGAGAGCTTTGCCAAAGGGTATCTAAGGCCTTGTCTACCTCCATATGAGGGTGGATTTCACAGGGCTTGAGACAGAGATGGAGACTTAAGCTGTCTGGCCATGGGCCAGGCCTATTGGCTTCAGTGGGGTGCACTAAGGAAGAATGTCCTTCCACATAAATGGTCACAAAAACACCTCCTAAGAACTAAAATTAGGAACTTCCATCACTAATACTTACCTTATACCTAACTTCTCACTTCTCAGTAAGTTTTCAGTATCATTTCTTCTTCCTTTTGAGTCTTACTATGTTGCCCAGATTGGGCTCAAGTAATTCTCCAGCCTCAGTCTCCTCAGTAGCTGAAACTCGAGGCATAAGCCATTGCACCCAGTTCTCAGCATCATGTTTAATACTTAAAGTGTAAACCTAGCAGCCCCCAGCACAACTGTCTCCACTTTTCACTGATGACAGTTATGATCATTAGAATGCTTCATATCTGTTCGAGAATTTACAGGTGATGAACAGTCTGATATACATCCTTCTCACTTGCTCCTCTTCCTCCTCATACCCTTGGGAAGTTGAGAAAATAGCATTTGAATAAACTTGTCTTGAGATTGAATAACTCCAAGGTTCTTTAGTATTAAGGAGGCACAGTCAAGCTTAAGTTGTCTGGCATTGTTGACATCACACGCCCCTGAAAAACAACCACTACAGAGCTCTTCAAATCAGTGGCAAGGACACTCAAGTCCCACAGCTACAGAACTATGGCCACACTGACACTCGTGCAGGCAGCTGATATTTACCAGTAGAAAGCTGGGCTGCTGCAGGTGAGGGAATGCCATAGCAGCCTCCAGTGGAAAGCCGAAAATGGCCTTCTTAGCAAACCACTTTGGAAAAACAAAGATGAAATCTCAACATCTGCAACACAGAAGAATCTTTCCAGTTTATTTTTTTACAGACAGGGTCTCATTTTGTTGCCCAAGCACAATGCAGCAGCACAATCACAGCTTACTGCAATCTCAAACTCCTGAGTTCAAGCAATCCTCCCGCCTCAGCCTCCTGAGTAGCTGGGACTACAGGTACGCACCACCACGCCTGGCTAATTTTCTTTTTTGTTTTTTGTTGAGACAGGGTCCGGCTATGTTGTCCAGGCTAGTTTCAAGTCCTAGCCTCCACGGATCCTCCTGTGTTGACCTCCTAAATGTTGAGGTTACAGGTGTGAGCCACTGCACCTGGCCCTAACAAAATATTACATAGTTTCACAATGCATTACCAATTCTCATGTCTTTCTTATTTATTTAT